AAAAAAAAAAAAAAGAGGATGAAAGATATATCAAAATAGAAAACACGAGACAATTATTTGAGAAATAAACAATATTTACTCTGATTAAAAATCTACAGAATTCTTCATAATATTTGTACCTCGTTTCAACACTTAACATTTCAAACATTTTTTACTTAATCTCTGTAATTACATTTTGAACTACCAGTTGTTCCTTTCAAACACAGAATGAAAATTTTATTACCTTCCGTTTTGCTTCGGATCTTATTGCCAGTTTAATCGTAACGAGTTGATTTCAAAGCCATCCCCACCGCAAAGTATTAATCACGCGTTAATAAGATTTGTTTTCCAAGTGTGCCACTGCTGCATATTGATCGCAAAATTCTACGCTGAGCAACATCTCAGCAAGAGAAATCTTCTTCAAAACTATTCTATTCTGATAAAGTTTCGATGGAAATAATACATAATTCATACGATTTCGAGGCAAAGTTGTTAATGTATTTCTGCTGCTTGAGAACTCGCGGCGATCAATTGTGACAGAACGAATATGCCACCTGCATGATATAGACATCAAAATTTGGAATAATAAATGAAACGGTGATAGAGACGGCGTAGATTATTTTCGTTCTGAAAATAATTACAAAATATTCGTAAAAAATTGTCTTTCAAAAAAGAAACATTCACATGTCGCATTTTGGTATTGATAGTAATATAATAAAAAATATATATATATAGTCATAGAAATGACAGACTTCAGATCTTTTGGTATTGTAATTCCACATTTATATGATATACTGATATAATGATTATGATAAATCTAATCTAAAAAATGTAAAAAAAATTCTACAAATTATACGATATTTTGAGGTAGAAACAAATTGGACAGCGTTAACAAATAAACCTATTAATTTAGTTCGAAACAGTATCTTAAATATGCATAATAATTTCATCGTGTGATGTTCCTCTCGTTTATTATTTTTCATTATAGAAAATATTTATGAGGAAATATATAGCAATTCTGAACATTAGAAAGCAAATATAATAAAGATTTACACTTTTTCAAATATTTATTATTCTACGTATGATTTATTATTTTCTATCTTCTATTCATTTTATATGTACATTTCATCGAGACTGAATTAAATATGAAAATTCTGCTTTTAAGTCATTAAAACGCAAAGCCCAGAAAATTTAACAGAAACGTACTTATTAGAATTACATTTTCGAATATAGAAATGCTCGAAGAAACCTTAACCCATCATTTCCATAATCGACAAAAGAATTAGATTCAGTGTTCACGTTGAATAAAATCAGGCTGCTACATTGTGAATATTTATTCGAATCTGTGCTGTGTCACACACAGAAATATCTCTTATGAATATTTATACAAATCCACGGTAGAAATATGCGATACAGAGAAATTTAGAGTAATTGATTATTGATTAGAGGACGGACAATTTATTTTTCTAAACGAGAATGCACAGACGCGTCTCTTTCATTTATATTGTGTTTTTCTGCTCCCTCGCGAATAAATGATTTTCCGACTTCTTAAAGTTTTTATAAAAATAATTCATTTCTTTTTCTTCAATTTTACGCACAATAAGACGTCATGGAGTAGTTTATCTGTTTTGATTTTTAATTTTTTATCATTCGTTGATAGGTTGTGAATGGCGCATTCACCCGAAAGGAAATAGGATCAAAAAATGAAGATTGTTATAAATGAAAGTGATTTGAAAAAACGCAGGAATTTAAAATAATTTTTTCTCTTTTGTGTATTGTTCTCAATTGAAATTTAGAGTCAGATTTTAGAGTCAGAAATATAAAATTTCTTACTTTAAATTATTTATTAGAGAAGGCACATTTTTAGGGAACATTATATATCACAGAGGCAGTGCAAAATATTTTTCAACTCAGCCGTTCCTGCGTAAACACTATGTCGAGCAAACACAGTGTTTTTCCAACGATAGCAGAATTCTTTCAATTTCTATATCCTCTGCCAAAACGCCCATATCCTCGTGGTTTCTTATTCACTTTTATTTCCTCTATAAAACAAACTATCGTCGCATAATTTTATTATAATTATCAAGCCAATTTAATAAACTTGTGTGAAACGAAGCTACATCTCGTTTTATATGCTGTCATCAATATTTTCAAATCGAGTTCATTAAGAGAATTGTTTTAGATCCTAATTTTACTCTATTTCACTGGAAAGTAAGAATTTTGTCAATGTTTTTATACAGGAATTTATTTTTCGACTCGAGAATTTATATATTTATTGATTATTAAGAAACTAGTATCCACTTAATATAATATAATATAATATAATACATATAATACATATGATATAATATAATATAATATAATACATATGAATTATATAATATAATA